AGGAGAAATCATCTTTTCATGACAACACGGTGATCCATTCAATCATTTCAAAAACTGACAAAATAAAAACTACTGTCAATCAATATATAGTAGGTCTGTCTATGATATTCAGTTATGAAAATGTGCTTTTAGCTGTGTTCTGTAGGAGTGTGAAAGACATAATGAGAAAAATAGATAACTTTCTGTTCTAATAATCTGTTGTGCTTTGATAGGCAGTTATGGGAACATATTTATTTTCTGACTTATACCCAGCTAAGTATGTAGCATTTTTAGATTATCTTTTCAAATTGTTCTTGAACATTCTCAGTTAAAAAAAATAAAACAACTCCTTTCATGTTAAGTTGAGATTGCACTTGAACTCTTTCCAAAAGCCAGAGCTGTACTGAATTATGATAATTAGAAAGCTGTGCGCATAAAAGGCAGCACAGTTGATGCATTTAAAAAAGTTCATGCCAGAGAATATAAGTTCAATATGTTCTCACATAATTAACATTTCCCATCATTAGCAGCAGTTTTCAGTTCATGTATCTGTAAAAACAACAGCACTCGTCATTGTTTGAGATTCCCAGTCAATAGCATTTTAATAGTTTTACACATAATCCCAAACTTTCTTCCCTTCCCCCTCCCCACACATGGAGATTTCGCCTTCTACCTCCTGACCTGCCAGAAAATAAACTCAGATTCTGTGCTCGTGTGCTCCCGCTGCCCAAAAGTTTAGGGAAAACCCAACAAGTGCTAGAAACCCAAGGTCCGGCAAGATGCAGGGGGGAACAATCACGTTGTTCCAGTCAACAAGGAGCAGAAGACAAAGAACAAAAAGTTGTAGGTGATACCTTGGGCTGGACAGAAGCCAAACTAAAACAGGCTGCCTCTGAGAAGCCAGGCACAGGCTGGAGGGACGGGGAAACGGGGTCACAGCCCTGCGCCAACCCTGCACACGCTCGCGGGTTTCCATCGCGCCCCACACCTACCTACCAAAATTCACCCCACAAACGAGGGTGTGCAGCCTGTGATGGGTCCCTCTTTGAGACTTCCTGGGTGGAATAACTCCAGTTAATTGTTAGGAGCCAGGTTTTGACTTTCAATCCCTGTAGTTTGAAATTAATATAATTCTGGTGGAATATGAATAACCTGCTCCAGTACAAAAGTTGCTGAATCTGCATCAACATGGACAGAAATTTTGACTTTTCCAACGACAAGGTGAAAGTTATGGTGACTGCAGTGGGATCAAAAAATGAGAGATTTTTTTGTATTAAATCAGAAAATACTTAGCTGAATTTTATGTGACAGATCTGAGGAGCAGATTTGAAGTTACTGCTTCAAAGGACTTAAGTCTGCAACTTTTCACTCTCTTCTGTTTTGGAAATGAGCAACCATTAAAAGCAAACATGAAATTATTCCAGGAAATATTATTCCATCCTTGTTCCACTTGCAAAAATCAAAAGGAGTTTTGTCCAAGAACAGAGAGCAAGATACGGTCATAAAGTGGGAATTTATTGCAGAGATTTTTTCCTAAAACTCTGTCTTCAGCACAGCTTAGAGTCAGTTGGCTTTACAATTAATAATGCCATTAATATGTTCATATATCACAGGATGCAATTTAAATTATACAGCACTTGCACAAGCTGCCACAAAACCTTTAACAGCCCTTGCTTGCAGGGTGATGATTTACTTCCTGAAAGTTCTAAAATTTTGTTGAGATTCAAATAATTCTTTAACAGTAAAGGACTGCAGTTTAGGAATATAAAACATCCCTGCTCACTCACGCGCTAATGGCAAAGCACAACACGGCGACACAACAGAAATTAAACCTCAGGTCCCAGAAAAAAGGATTATTTCTCTCATTAAAAGGCAGGTCCCTCTGATGAGCTTGGGACTTCAAAATCATTTTTAAAGGGCCAATTTGCACCCTCATTACAGCCAATGTAATCCAGCAACAGGCTGCATGAAGTTGATGGAATTAACCTGAATTTAGACTAGATTTCTAAGAAGTCAGCCCTCGCCTCATATTCGCACATGCTATGAATAAGAAGCCCGAATGGAATGAATGATCAGCTGTTAACAGAAATTTGCCTTCAAGTCCTAGGCAGATTACAAATTAAGCAGAACATAAGCCCCAAGTAGAAATTTGAAAAAGTATGTGTGTCAAATCAATATTCTTTTAAATCCAAGATGTCCTTCTTTAGACATCAAATATCACACTAACCATGGACATAAAGCATATGCTGTAAATATCTTCGTATTTGATCCAGCAAATGTTTATTCCTATGAGTCATCCTGGTCACTTTAACCTGAGCAAGGATTGGAGCCAATATTTTCTCCTTAAATAAGTGGAATCACTACAGAAAGACAGCTTTTAAACCATCTCCAGAGGGGTACAGGGCTAATATTAATGATATGAAGAAATACCAGCTAGAATGAGTGATGTGTATATATATTTATATTTATATATATATATATATATATATATATGTATCATGTGTATCCAGTAAGAAACCAAGTGCTCAAAACAGGTTTGAAAGTAACCTTCTCCTAAGCACACATATCCAGAACTGTGCAGTAAATCTCCATGTTTTGGGAACAGTCTTAGGCACCTTGTAACAAAATCAGATTACTTCTGGTGCAATTCTTCCAGCAGTGTAACCATCCTATTTTACAGACTGAAAACTGACAGCTGTATCATAATACACAACTGCATGTTTTTACCTTTCGCTTTTTTTTTTTTTTAATGAAAGATGCCAGTATTTCTCTATAGCTCCAGAAGTTTTCGTTCCTGTATTGCCTGTACCGTACCTTGAAAGTTTGCTCACAATATTATCACAAAGGCAGCTTAAACAGAAAGAAGGAAGAAATGGGTTTTTTCCTCAGCATGTGACTCAACTGAACTTAACTTTTTCAGGCATGGACAAACAAGGGCCAGAAACCACTTTAACAATATCCAAAACCACTACAGCATCCAGGAGCAGCAGCAACAACAAAAACCCACTGGTTCCAAGTGACACCAAACACTCTACACACATGCTCACACATCCCCACACACTATCACCGCTCAGCTGCACACTCACGGCCAGGGCTACTTCATAATTAAGTTTCTGCTGTTCTTTTCTAGCTGTTTAATTAAAACTCCTTTAAGCGCACACTGTCTTTACTTAGACTTGTCAAATCAACATTTTTCCCTGGCTTCAGTACTCCTCTACACCCCACTCAGCACTGACTGAGAAACTGTGGAGAATGTAAAACCACAATTTGAATTTCAAGAGCTGTTTTTCCACTCTCCTGGCTGAAAAGGCCAATAATATTTACTTCACCAAAGCGGCATAAGCAAGATTGATGCTCAAAATACATTGAAGGTGTTTAGCGATAAAGTTCTTGCCAAAGGTATTTCTAGATTGCTAAGAAGAAAAAGTGAAAGAAATTCTTTGCATCCAGAATTTCTGCTTGGTCAGCTGATAAAAACCTGGAGCAAACAACACGCAGAATTATCCCTACTGGTATAGGAAACGCTTTATGACCTAATTAAACACCGGTGCAGTGTGAAAAGAAGTGTTTTCCCATAAAGGTGAAAAAATAGATGCACTTCTAAAATGTTTACCCTTTGTGAAAATAATTTCAAAAAGTTGATTTTAAAAACTTGCAACTTCAGAATGTGATCCAAATATAATATCTTCAGTTTTGTGTTTCAAGAACATCCACTGTGTTAATTCCTGTATTTCTATTCCCAAAGAAAGTGTGTGTGTGTATGTGTGTATATAAAAATACATATGTTCACATACAAACAAACATGCAAGCTTCCCTCCCACCCCCAGAAGTAATTTAATACCCAGGTCTGTGTCATTTTTAACAGCACCATCTTACCATCAGTACAATCTAATATTCTGTAATGGTATTCCCCAACTATTTATAGAGATAGAATACATCATACATTACAGACACACATTCCCAATCTAAGGTTGTAAGAAGAACCCTACATAATTTTAAATTACGCCCTAATGTAATTATAATCATCTTTGTTTTCATATTCAATTGCAGGTAGCACGTAGTTATTTACATGAATTTTCCTGTTAGAAGCATTCCCACAGAGATTTCCATATTAGAAGTGCTGCAGAATAACTGAGCATGCAGCTAGGCAGAGCATGCTAGCCATACAGCTCCAAATTTTGCCCTTGTCCAGCTCTGTAAAACCGCTAACCTGCAAGATTGCATTTCCAAACTTTATCAGCACGAAGAGAAAGCAAACATGCTCCTGCTAATACAGGAATACAGCTGCATATGTACTTTTTCTCCCTGAGGCTCTGCCATTTCGGCTTGTATTTCTTACATACGCTATTTTAAGTCAGAAAACACCAGCACAATGTGATGTATCTTGCCCTTTCTTGCCTAGAAAGGAGCAGTTAACAAAACACTGGGAGCCATTTACATTCAGAAAGCGCAGGGCAGAACTGCTCCCTAACTTTCCAGCACTTCTGGAGGTCACTTTTCATTTCTTCATATCAAAGGCAGGCACTTGTTTCTAATAAGTTAACAACTCTCCTGAGAAACGTGGGTGGCTGGTATTTCATTGTTTCATAAATATTTTTATACTCGTAACAGCGTTCAACTTAAAACAGATTTCAAGAGGAGAAAAATCACGACTAGCACCGTGCTCAACAGAGGCAGGAGCGCAAACTTTTTTTTCCTTGGTGAAAACAGAGTCTTTTCCCTCCTCCTCTCGCTTTATTTCGCCTCGCTGTTTTTGTTTGGTTGTGTGGAGGGGGCCGCTTTGTTTTAATTTGGGTACAAAAGGCGCACTGTATAAGTTTTCCCTCCCCCTTGGAAGTGCACTTCCTTTGAAAGCGCTCCTCTGCGAACAAAGGCTGCCACCGGCCCTCCGCACCAGCGCCGGGGACAGCTGGGCGATGGAGCTCTTCAAAACCTCGCCGAGAAATGAAAAATTAAAAAAAAAAAAAAAAAAAAAAAAAACAACAAAAAAAAAAACAACCAAAAAAACTCGCGGTTCCTACCGAAAGGAAGTTTTCCAGGGACAATCTCCTCGGTGTTGCTGTAACTGCGACTTTGTCTTTTTTGGATACAATGTTTCTGCTGACTCCCGAAAATTTTCCACTTGAATGTGCAATTAACCAGCGGCGGCGGCGGCAGCAGCTCTGGAGAAGGAGAAGCAGCAGCGAGAAAGGACATTCCTTCTTTCATCTTTTAGAGGAAAAACAAGCGAGGGGAGGGAGGCAAAGCCGGGGGCAGCGCGGCCAGCCAGGCCGGGCCGCCCGGGGATGGCTGCGGAGCGCTGCGAGCCGCTGCGCCCGGCCCGGGGCTGCTCCCGGCTGGCTCGCTTCCCCGCGGGGGGGAACAAAAACAAAACAACAAAACAACAAAAAATGTGAAAAATGCCAAGGATCGGTGCGCGCGTGTACGAGGGAGAGCCTCTGTGTGTCTGTGTGTGAGTGTGTGTGTGTGTGTGTGAGAGTGAGTGAGTGAGTGAGTGCGAGCGCGCCCGGTGCCGGGCGGTGACTCAGGCCAGCGAGTGCGAGCGGGGGAGCGGAGCGGAGCGGAGCGGGGCGGGCGGCAGCGCCTGTTGCAGCTCCGGCCGCGGCCCCGCAGCGCCACAACTCCGCGGCCAGCAACTTCTCCCCCTCGCCGCGGCCCCCGGCCCGCCTGCCCCGGCACCTGCGGGGGCGCCGGCTCCCCCCGGGCCGCCCCCGGCCGGGACGGGCCCCCCGCCCCGCCGCACAAAGCGCCGGCGGCGTGCGCGCCCGCGGCCCCGCTTACCTCCGCGCCGCGGCCCCCTCCGCGCACCGCCAGCGCGCCGCGCTCCGACGGCAAAACTTCGCCCGCCGCCCCCGGGCCGCCCCGGCTATTTATGGCCCCGCGCCTATTTTTAATCCGCCGCTTGGCTATTTATACCGCGGCCGTAGGTTGCCGCGGGCCGGCGGACGGAGCCCTCGGAGGATGAGTTGCTGCCCGGCCGGCGGCGGGGCGGGCCGGGCTCCCGGCCGGGCTGCGCGGCGCCAGCGATGCGAGGAATGCGCGGAATGAGGGGAGGAATGAAATGAACGCGGGAGCGGGGCGGCCGCGGGGCGGAGCGCGGCCCGCCGCCCCCTGCGGCCGCGGGCGGGCGGGCGGGGCCGCGGGCGGGGCCTCCGCGCCGCGCTGACCTCATAGGGGAGCCCGCGGGAGGGGGCACCGGCACCGGGCTCGGGGGCACCGGCACCGGGCTCGGGGGCACCGGCACCGGGCTCGGGGGCACCGGCACCGGGCTCGGGGGCACCGGCACCGGGCTCGGGGCACCGCGGGGCGATGCCGTCCCGCACGCCCCGGCACGAAGGACGCGCGGGATGGGGGTCGGCCGTGGGGTCCGGGTTGCGGAACGGGCCGGGAGGCTCCCCCCGGGGAAGCTCGGCGCACACACAGCCGCATCCAAGCCCTGCAAAGCCCTGTACAAACCCGCACCCATCCCTAAGAAACGCGGGTCTGTGTCCTAAAGGCCCAACAGAGCCCCACAGCATGGGATGAGAAGACAGCACAGCCCAAATTGACATGGACACAGTCATGTCTTCACCCTCAATGCGGATCCTGACCTTTCTCACAAAACTGTCCCCAGATCCAGATTTCACAATGCCAGTTTTGCACCACTCCAAATGAGTGAGCCGGAGTGCCACTGGACTATCTGTACCCTTCTTGTCTTGTGCAACCCATCCCCCCAAAACACTCCCCAAGCAGCATCACAGGCACGTCTCCTTCAGTTAACAATCCGCTACCTTATGGAAATAATTGCAGGGAAGGCACAGCTGTTGTGCTTGTGACAATTCATATTTGCATAAGCAAAATGGATAACTGGACACCTTGGTGTTTGTGAAATAAATTGCCTACTTTGATGTGCAAACACACATTTTTACCCACCTTTGAAAGTTTGCCCAGCAGGGCTACCGTGTTTGGAGCAATCACAAAAATCACATTACAACCTCAGAGGAACAATGTGTCGGCATCACCAGGCAGCCCTTGCGTGTTCACACCGCTCCTAAATTCATGACATGCTGGTGGAATCCTCAATAAATGCCCAGCATATTAATTTTTTGCAACTTTGAGAAGGGATGCCTAGCGTGTCGTTTTGGGAATACTAGGAACAACACGCTTGTCCTGCTGCTCCCCCAGAACCAATCCTGTGAGACAGCCGTGCTGTTCACAGACATCCTTGCAGCCTCAGGCTGACCCCAGAGCCTCTTGAAAGGAGCCACTTGAAGCTCACATTGCAGTTTACAGGGAGGCTGCAGCTGGTTTTTACCTTTGTAGAGCAGGCACAGGCTGTGTATGATGGGCAGAAGGTACAGGTTCCCACTGATCACACACAAGACACTGACTGAAACCTGCTACAACAGCAGAAAAGTGTGCAACAAGTTACAATGTCAAACGAAGCCAAAGTCTGAGCAGGTCTTGGTCAAAGGACTGTGAGAATGCAAAAAAAAAAAAAAAAAAAAAAAAGTATTTGCAGGATTTTTCTTTTCCCCCACACACTTTTCCACACTGGCTGAAAAATTTCTTCCTCAAAACAGGCTACAGGAAACCCCTTCACACATGCAGAATTTCTTTTCTCTCCAACTCCTTCTTTCCAAATAGCTCTGGTAATATTGTCTAATAAGTGTCTGAGTGCCTGCACAATTGGTAAAATTCAATCACTTTGCAGATGTCTGCACAAAAGCCATAGTCTCCTGAGTGCACTTAAAGATTACCAACTTTTTTCCAAAGTTGGAACAGAAAAATGGGACAAAACATTGCCCCCCAACACCTATAACAGATTTTTTTTTTTAGTCACTAGGCTTTAAACTCCCTCTGCTATGCTCACTGCAAGAACAGAAATGTGAAATGTCTTTAAATAAATGTGATTTTTTTTTCCCATAAGGCTTGCAGAGGAAGTACCAAGAATACTGACTCTTAAATTCTATGCATGTGCAGGGCCCAAAAGGTATTACAGCTCTGTACAAATCTTCGAACAATGGATAAGTAGAGTTTATAAGTAGTCTTACCTATAGTAGTTCTCACAAATGAAAGTGATGCAAATTTTGCAGGATCATGCTCTCCTTGTGGAAAAGGAAAAAAAAAAAAGAAAAAAGAGGATTGCTTCTGAAGGCATCATTGTGGATGAACAGAAATCAGACTCAAACAAGGTTCTAGCTGTTTGCCATATCTGCAGACAGACAGTTCACTTTTGCAATTCAAAATTCAGAAGAATTGTGGAAGAATAATTAAATTTACCTGATGCCTCCGTATTTTCCTGTTAACTGCAAGCAGCAGGAAAGGCTCATGCAATTCCATCTATTTCACAGGTTCTAAAGTTTTCTGTTAGTGTCCTTCGGAGGAAGAAATTCTCCCATGGAAGAAGGGCAAAACCAAAGGCTTGGGGAAGATTGGAAGCCTTCTACTGGCACAGTGTAAAGGTTCATCCACAATCCACAGTTTTCAACTCAAGGCTGGGTCCTGACCATATCTTGCTCCCAGGCAACTGCACATACTGATGAAACCACCAAAACTGAGGCCAGTTTAGCCACCACAACCCAGTGTGGTGACTAAACGAAGCACAGCCAGCAAGCTCCAGACAAAACCCATGTCCTCTGCACACTGAGGCAGGGAAATTCTGTCAAGCGTGGAGCTCTCTTGCCTCCTGGCTCATATACCCTGGAGATTATCCTGTCATGCCACGCCACACTGGTAATCACTTCAAAAAACACATACCTGGAATGCCCACATCTTTCTGACAGGGAAAAAAAAAAAAAAGTTGTATTGGGGAGAGAGAGAGAGCTGTGCATTTTGACAGAAGGTAAAGACAAGGTAAAACAACATCAGGACCAGCCTGTTAGCCCAGCCACTCTCTCTTTGGAGGCCCGATGGATAAAGAAGGAAAGTACATTGGCAGCACATTCATAGACAGAACTTTGATGAATTGCCTGCCCTCTGTTTATTGATGTGCTTCTTCAGGCACACAGGTGCACTGAGAATGACAAAAGCAGGGAAAAACAAAGGGACATTGGGACAAGCCCAGGCAGGGGCATTTCCTGGGGACAAATGCTTATCTCAGCTAGAAATGAGACACACAAGTGGGGAATATGTGAAAATGTGGTCAGAAAAGGAAAGAATTCGATTCAAGAGACAGACACCAATGAAAGGACTTCAGGGAGAGAGACTGGGGAAAGAGAAAAGACAGAGGAAGTGAGAACAATTTTTTGAAACTACAGACAGAAGGCAGGAAAAATGAAAGAAAGTTTTAAAAATGGAGAAAGGAAAAGCTGAAAAAGGAAAGGAATTGATGGGACAGAAAGAACAGCTGAAAGGAAACCAGCTGGGAGAACAAGGAAAACTGTAGTTTAGGAGAAGAAAAAATAGGAATAGCAGAAACAAGAGACAACAGTGAGGAAAGGGAATTAGCTTCACCACGAGAGGAAGCTAATGGTGGGAGGGGTAAGGTAAGGGAGGAGAGAAAAAGCAAGCAAAAGAAATAGAGAATAAAGGTCTGCAGCACTATCAAGTCTTGCATTTGTCAGTGAAAGACTGTTTTGAGTGTGAGTCCTATTGAGTCTGGGGCAGAGGCAAGTGTGAACATGCATAGAGATAAGCTGGAGGCTGGACTCTGCTTCACATATAGGAACCACTTCTGTCTTTATTAATGAGACCGCTGATAGCAGGGGACACTGGGTACAGGGAACAGGACTTACACTTTTCAGCCCAGCCACCCAAAACCAGAGGGTGCTTTTAAGTCTCCAGAAGATGAAACATCACCCAAAGACACAGGTTTAATAGAATTCCTTGCTTACTCTAGGAATAAGTAAACTCTTATCTGCCTAGAGAGCACTGGCTGATGAAAACAAGATGGACTTTGCAAATTCTACATCCAGAGCCCATTTTGGACTTGGAATGAACCTGAAAGCTCAACAACATTTGGACTCAGTGTTTTGGTTACAAATACTGCAAGAATTTTAAAGCTTTGTATTTGGATTGCACTTCAGATTAGGAAAACTGCTAATCCCAGGAAATGCTTAAAGCACTGCACAGATTAGGGTTCATCTATAGTGTGCAAAGAATTAAATATCCAAATCAATGTGCTGCTGAACATGCCAACAAAAAAATGCTGTGGGGAGGCTGCAATGTAATGGAACAGAGCTCTCCATACTACAAATCCAGCTGCTGAGCTTTGTAAAGCAGCAGACAGCGTAAAGAATGAAAACAAATAGCAGTTTAATAATGAATTACAATAATTGAGTCGAGAGGAAGCCAGGACATGAACCACGGCCTCAGAGTCCAGCTGAGTTAAAATAGTACAGAGAGTGGAAATATATAATTTCAGACAATCCTGGGTGCTTATTTCTAAAGGTGAGCTGAGAGCTGTTTAGAATGACATGACCAGAGTGCAGGGCTGTATATTTCTTCCATTGATGAAATCACTAACACCAAAATGGGGTGGCTCTCGTCCTGCTTCAAAGCAAACAATGTAGGCACAGCAGCCCATTCCTTCTCCTGATAGCAATAATTCCCAGAGCCACTGATTGAAACAAACTGCTGTTGAAGCCACTTGTGTGCTTGGGCTTTTAAAAATACATTTTGCACTACAAATTTTGTGGTGTTACTGTCCTTTTGTGCTGGGGGAGAAAAAAAAAAAAAAAAAAAAGGAAAACAATTCACTTTCAAATTCCCAAAG